AGGAGCTAGATCATTTTTCTTCTCTGTTTTTCTTAAAAAAAAAAGAATGGAGTGTGACTGTGTCTGTGTGCACACGACACAGGTACCTTGATTCCGGCGGTCCCAAGGCACGAGGGCCCACAGCGTCGCTCCGGTGAGTTGGCCTGCGCTGGGCAGACAGACGCATCGTGGGCCGGTGGCATCCCGAGATCCAGAGGGCCGCGGTGGCAACGGGCCCAGCGAGACTGTAGTTCCGTGGAGGGAGGCCGGCCCTGTTCACCGCACTTGCAAAACGAAAACAAGCAAAGCGAGCGCGAGCGCATGTGCCGTGTCCCTAGTCCTTACCCATCTCCGTGGACTGGCTGTGCGCCTGTGCGCGTGCACGCTTTCTCCGCCACGCCGCTGACTACCTCGGTGCGCGGCGCCACGCGCGTCGGCGTGCGTGCGCCGTGGTTGGTGATGGCGTCCCGGCTGGTGGCCGTTGCTGCGTTGTGCCCTGCCGCTGCCGGCCAGCCCCGAAACAAAACGCGCGCACAGTTCGCGTCCCATTCGCGTTGACAGATCTGATCCGCCACTATCTCCTCTGCTCTGTTCCTGCGGATCATCATCCTCTGCCTCCGTCGACCGTCGTCCGTCTCATTCGCGCGATCTCTATCTACAACTAAGAAAGTTACAGCGCAATCGTTCAACGGCAGAAGGAAACCCACCTGCGACGATTACCGTCGGGCACTCCCACGCTTCCCTCTATACCGGGCCCACCCTGGAGGCTTGCTCACGCGCGCTCTCAGGGAAGAAAGGCCGGGATTCCGGAAATCAAATCCGCCTTCGCGAGCCGTCCTCCTCGCGCGCCGCACTTGGCTGGCCTCCGTCGTCGCCCTCGCCCTCGCAGTCCTGCTCGGCGCGCGCGCTGTTGGTGGGCCTCGGCGAGGACGGCAGCGGTCAAGGCAACGCCGCGCCCGCGCCGGAATCCCACGCCTTCATCATCGTCTTCCACCGCGCTGCCGAGCCCTCGACTCGGCCACGCGAAGGCCGCCGCCGACGCCCTTTGCCACGCCGACCCCAACATCCACAAGCAGCCGCGGCCAGGACCACCCTCGCCGCGACGGACGGATCTGCCCCGGCCGTGCCTCCTGCTCTGCCTGCCAGAGGCAGCGGTCAAAGCAGCGTCACGCCCGTGCCGGAAGTCCACGCCTTCATCGCCGTCCTGCACCGACCCGCCGAGCCCTCGCCTCGCCGACCCCAAGGCCACCGCCGGCGCCCTTCGCCACGCCGACCCCAACAACCACCAGCAGACACGGCCAGGACCACCCTCGCTGCCCCGGACGGGTCTGCCCCGGCTGCACCTCCTGCTCCACTTCACCACCTCCACAGCGCTGAGCCGGTGCTAACAAGCTTTGAGGTAGTTCACCGCCTTCGATGCATATGTATACAGTACATCTTCTCCCAGCCACCATTGCCGCTATTCAGAACTCGATTTTGTTTGTCTCTGAAAAATATTTGTAGCAAAAAAGGCTCCAACAAGCTCCTGAACAACATGAACTTGCAGAAATTTCAGTGATTTCAAATAGGTAACAAATGCTTGTTCTGTTAGGTCCTGTACTCCTGTAGCAGCATAGCAGCACAGAGTTACGGTTTGGCTCAGAGCCTACAGAAAAAAAAACCCCGTGAACATCCAAACTCTTCTAGGTGAAGTTCTATTGCTGCACATTTGTTCCATAAGTTTATCTGAATTTTGGACATCCCCTGTACCTTTACAAGAAATAATTTATTAGACTATGTCGGTTTTTGGATCATGGAGCACTGGAGATATGCATTCTTCTTGATAGCATGTAGTCAGTGTGGTTGAGCCATTTGCGCATCTGGATTTACTTTGCATCATGATAGGTGAAGATTAACTTTTCTAGGATCTAAAAACTTATAACTGTTATCACACATCTGTTGTATGTACATGGGCCTTACAAGATTCGTTTCATGGTGTGCACTTTGCAGGTCAGAAGAAGTAAGAAAGCACCAGAATCCGCTTCGTCTATTTTGCCTCATGGTGTGCACTGTCGTAGTGTGATGCATGATTGTGACTTCTGGGTGATGACTGCTGTTTTTTTTTTATTATGTGTGATGATTGTCGATTTTTTTATTGATCCTTGATCTGACTAAAATATTATTGTGAAGAAAATTCATTGGATTCATATTTAGAGATTCCTCATGTTTAGAGATTCGGAGATTCAGAGAATTGTGTGTCATTGCCTCATGTTTAGAGATTCAGAGATTTCGGAGATTCATATTTACAGACTCCTCACTGCGATCTTCATGTTTTCCTGATTAAAATTGTGCCCCATAAGAAGACTTTATAAACCAAAAGTGAGTTACGAAATTCAGTACAGATATTATATATTATAACTTGTGCTAAGCATAATTTCAGAGATATATTTTGGTTCTAGCTTTACCATATACAACCTAAACTCTAAGTTCTGCATGATGACGCCCTTCACTTGCCAAAATTGAATTAGCAGTTAGGGCCTAGAGTAGAAAGTAGAAACAGAATAACAAAGCTTAATTATTTCTTGACTTAAAGGTCTTGCCTTCATTCAGCTCAGGTATCCCCATTTTAGATGAGGCTGTCCAGTTACCTTTGCTACATTAGATGTGGAAGTGTCTGGTCTGTTGTTGTTCGCTGAACTATGCACTTTGTTCATGAAGTCTTGATCTTCTTGCGTTCCAAACATTGAACTTGGAATCATGTTTTTCTCATTCTTTCCCTGCAGCATCCAGGAGGAATTTCCTGAACGTTCTTGACTTTCTATAGAAATTCAACTCAGTCTCAGGGATCAAGGACAGAATGACTGCACAGCAAGTTACATGGTGCCATTGAGGAAGCTCACCTTGGCATGACCAATTAATTTGACTTTGAAGCTCAGCTGAATGCTAAAGGTTACAAAAGAAAGCTTCATTCTGGGATTCTGCTGTTGATGCCGTGAGTGGAGGATTCATGTTGTCTTTTTGCAGCTCTTCAAAACCATGACCTTCTCCAATTCTCATTGTGTTTGTTGAGTGGCTTCTACCTTTCAGTTGATACTGATTATAGCATGGTTATCGTTGCAGGTTACTACATACTACCTGATATTTTTGGTGGAGTAGATAATGCCCAGTGGAATATGCGTTGAGACACCTCAATTTTAGGACTGCAAGCTAGCACTATGGCATTTGTCGGCTGAGTTGAAGTTTTGGATACTCTAATTAATCTGCGGCAGTAGAAGGCTGAGCGTTTTCTAAGAGTCTCTCAATATTTCAACAATAGGTTTTAGCCAACTGACAGGTGATGCAACATCAATCTTTCATTGCCTATTCATATGTTATTGTGGCATTATTTTTTCCGTTACACACACGGGTATTTTAATAAAACCCGCCACCCCGGTAGATAGCGTACGTCTGCTTGTCCCTGTTTGAAGACTTGATCGTTTCCAACCAAAGGGGGCATTGGCGTTGGCCATTGGATTGGAACAGTTTAGCCCTTGTTTGCTTCGCGAAAACTTTTCTTAAAAAGTACTACAGTACCCATCACATCGAATCTTACGATACGTGCATGGAGCATTAAATGTAGACGAAAAAAAACTAATTGCACAGTTTAGTTGGAAATTGCGAGACGAACGTTTTGAGCCAAATTAGTCTATGTTTGAATACTAATTGCCAAATAAAAATGAAAGTGCTACAGTAACCCAAATTTCTAAATTTCTCGAACTAAACAAGGACTTAGATGTCCAAACGTCCTTTGAGGTTGGGGAACAGCTGGTTCTGCTGCACCTTTTTCATTTGACCTATGCCACAAATTGTTTCTCAGAAAACTGGCGCGTCGTATTCGCTGGAGTACTGGTTTGGACAAGTTCGCACGTCACATTTGTTTCGTGCCTAGCCTTACCAAAAGTCCAAAACACAGCTAGCTAGCGTGACCTGCACACAACTTACGCAGGCAGATTCGATTTTTGGCTGCCGAGAAAAACTCATCAAAAAAATAAACATAAGAAGCCGCAGACAGAAAAGATCAGCGCACGGCCATTTCTCCATCGCGCTGCGCATTTGCATCTTCCACCTCCGGCCAGCCAGCAGACTCGATCATCGATAGCATCATGTCTCGGAAGCGCCACGAGCTGGAGGGAGCAGGAGGCGGCGGCGTGGGCACCGACGACGCAAGCGGCAAGGCGGTGTGGGACACCGGGAGTTCGCTGTACGACTCGTACGAGCTGGCCGCCGTGCGCCGGCTCCTCGACAAGCGCCTCCTCGCGGCCGCCGGCGTCCTCGCTCTCCGCGACGACGGGCCACCACCAGCCGCGGGAGGGACGAGGGGCAAGAGCACGCAGGTCGTGCCGGTCAGCAGGGTCCACCACAGGAAGGTCACGCTGAGGGCGCTCTTCAGGGCGGTGGCACCGAGGCAAGCGCCGCTCGCCTGTGCCTGCGCTGGCATGGTCCATGATCAGAGTGCTGCCGCGGTCGAGCCGGATCTGCCGCCCCACGGCCAACTTTGATCAACCCTGTGTTGAGTCCATCTGTTCTTGCATTGGGGCAACATGTTTTTTTTCCCCTCGGTTGTTGTGGCTTTACGTGTCAATGCTGTCCTGCTCATGCGATTGTTGGTCATGGAGCAGCCAAATCTGCATGAAGAGTAGTGACCCCGGTCTGGCTCCAGATTTGTTTGTAAAGCACATGAAAACTTTTGGCGGTTTTTCTCATGCAAAGGCTGTGGCTGGATCGACTGAGTTTGCTTCTTGTAGTACACAACTTGTTTGCTTCAGAACACATGTGATCTTTCTAAATTTTCTTCAGGGATGACACGGCTGCTAAATGCAACGCTAAGAATGCAGCAACCTCGCATCACGGCTACATACATACACTGTCAAACAGCTAATTACATAAGAGCTACTGACAATATATGATACACCTATCAGTTGGGCTACTCCCAACAGGATGGATCGTACGCCATGCACTTTCACTATGCTTTCAGCTACCAGTACTTTCGTGTGTAGCATCGATCAGAGTCCATACGCAGTGCTGAAGTAGCTCTGGGTGACATTCCTGCTCAGTATCTGCAGCACCTTGCTGTTGGACTGGCCCACGAACCGCGGCGTCTTGAACTGGCTGACGGCGCCGCCGAGGCTCAGGTAGTGGTCCATGACCTGCCCGAAGGTTCCCTTCTGGAGGACCCGGAGCTCGAGGGCGCCGATGGTCTTGATCTTCCTCGACCCGACATACCCGGCGTCCACAAAGGCCAGGTCCATGCTGTTCGCGCAGCCGCTCAGGACATCTTCGCTGGCGCTGTCGGAGCTCAGCTCCCAGAAGATGACGTAGTGCCCTGGGTCGCTTTATCTGTCCACGAGGCTCGTGAAGTCCACCACCTCCAGCTTCTCCGCGGCCAAGAGCTTCTCCGCCTCTTCGACGGCTAGCTGCAGGTCTTTCTCGGTGTTCTTGTCGATGTTGATGCTGAGGACTAGACTTCTGCGGCAGATGAACTGGAGCTCTGGCGTCGAGTTGTGGAAGCCCGCTATCTTCACAATATCTCCCAGCCTGTATCGGTATAGACCTACGGCCCAATAGCCCATATGCAAAGCAAGAACATCAAACATGTGCCATTTCGAATTTTCGATGGAATGGAAATTAGAGCTAGTCAGTGATACTACTAGCTAGGCATATTAAGCTCAAATCTTAACCGAGAAATCCTTCTGAAGGACAAAGACACAAAACACTACAGAGTAATGATAGCTGGGCTGGAGCCCGGCTACAGAATCCCTAAGGTAAGATTAAGTTGAAATCATCATCTGGCAAAATAAATTGATATTTGATAGCTCAAACAAGATGTGAACATACAAATTTCTAATGCAAAATCATGAATTAGAAGTGCAGTGCTTGAATGCTACGTTAGAAAGAGATGTATTTACCTGCAAAATTTGTTATTACAACTTCATAGATTTTGCCAACCTCAACTTCAGTTAGGCCTACAGGCTCTGACTCTATGTAGTGAATAGAGGAAAAGTTCTCCATTTCCTCACCTTTCAGTTTTTCCAGAGGAATGAACTCGAAATAAACAAATATTAGGAAGAACAGCGTATGTCACCTCCTCAGGCGGCAGGGTTGGGTTTACATTAGAACCAACCCATCCTTCAGATGCACCATAGTCAGCACTCATCAGTGGTAAGTGACCAGCATAATGTCGCAGTTTCTTTAGGTATGGCTCCATGGACCCTGTCATAATGCCATAGATGTGTACTTCGCATTTGGCCACAGTGTTGGGATTACCCCATACCAATTACTCAAATTCTGGCACTTATTGTATATCGAGCTAGCAAGCTCAGGATTCGGCCTCAAGATTTTTGAAACAGCTTGGCGGATAGATGGTGTGGTGACTCTCTTTGAGAGAACACCATCTCTTATATCAGCACATAGATCTTACCATACCTCCACGAGAATGTGAAATGCATGGACGAGGCTGTGCGCAAATGGCGAGAAAACAAACTGAACTTCATCTGAGTAGATTAACCCGCATAATAGATGGCAGTATAAAGACTGATGGAAGTCAGGACCGAAGATGACTTCATCAGGACTGCAGCACTGAGACATGATATCCTTCATTGCTTCCTTGAAACGCCGACTCCTGTACAAATTTGTTGTCGCAGTTGTAGCAAGAATGCCCCCTTGGGTAAAGACTTGCTTGCTCCCATAAACAAACTGCATGTCTTTTCCGTTGCCAATAGGATATTCACTGCAAGTATGCCCAAACATTATTTTGGAACTCTGGATCATAACGCAGAAGGAACATTTTGCAGACTCAAAATTATTATATAGTAGTATCACTGTTGAGGATATAACTTATAAAAGAAGCAGAATGTCACAAATATAAGCGAAGTTCCTTACCGATTTCTAAAAGCATTTGAGGTTCGGAATATTTGAATTGTACTCTCAAGCATTTCATCATTGAATGGCAAAAACTTGGGTTTTCCCTGCGTCGTACCAGAACTGAAACAATAATTCAGAAGCACTGAAATTTAGAGTTCGCCTAATTCAGATACCAGTTGATGCAACAAGAGAAAAAAGTCCAACTAGTACCTTACAGAGAGGGAAGTGATGGACAGGGGCGAAGCTAGCGCTCAGTCAAGCCTGGTGCACTACTAAACATACATTATCTCGTGTTGCTAGATAAATTTTGAATTTTCCCTAATTCTATCCAATTTAAATTTTAACAAAATTTCAATGAATCTTTACCAAATATGAAACAATATAGTTTTTTGGACCTTATTTTTCAATAACATCCAATAGCTGGTCTTTATTGGATTGGTAGGCCAAATATTTTTGGTAAACTAAGCATAAACGATATATGAATAGTCGTGTTGTATTATAGAAGAAATAAGAGAGAGAAAACACTTAGATTCAATTTAGTCAAGCAGTATTTGTATATTTGCACATCTCAATTTTTAAGGTTCAGGTCAGAATTGTTCACCACCTGTGTCCTTTCGTTTTTTTTTGGTCCTGTAGGTTTGTATAAATGCGAAAGCATCTTATTCCATACCGTACAAAGCTATCAACAGATCTGAGCTTCTTTTCAAGTTTAATAAAAAACAACTAGAAATAGATCTGAGCTTTGACGTCGCAGACCATGTAATCAAGTAATAATAGTTTAGGTTGTTTTCGAATAACCAGTGCCCGAAAGTCAGTGCTATGCTAGCATGGAGCAGGGCAGCCACAGGCCACGCTTGGTTGGACTCAACTGGTACACTCCTGATCGATGCTCCACTAACTAATGCAGTGCTGGATAAGTCGTGCCCTTGCGAGAAGACCGAGTTAGGTGCCTGGTGCACACGGTTGTCGCAGGGTGGTGCACAGACGTTGGGACACGGCCTAGTAGCTCGTAAAACGTTTTTTAGGCTATGTTCGGCTGGTCTATAAACCGTTGGTGTTGATTTATATAACTGATTTATTGAGAAAGAAAAATAGTGTACCACGACTAAACCGGTTTATAATGGCAGCCGAACAGAGCCTTAGCCTGGAGCCTGTGCAACAGGGTGGGTCAATGTGGCTTCGCCCCTGGTGATGGACTTCATGCACACATAGAGGAATGCAGGATTTAAAGCTCTTGGAATCTGTCCTCCTTCCAAGATTGAAGCGATTCAGATACTCAGCGTCACAATTCAGTTCAAGAATCTTTCTCAGAGTATCCTGCTGCACGCGTCTAGCATCACGCGTTAGCAACTCAAACTCATCAATGATTTCTTCACTGCTGCAGACTGTCATTGGAACTTGTAAGTCAGAACCTTAACACCTGCTTGTGCTGAAGAGGAAGGTCTGCAAATATCCAAATCGGAATAAAACAACCACATAAACCACTTGAAGAAGCTAGTCGAAAAAAAAACCACTTGAAGAAGCATTGCTGCAAAGAAAATTTAAATCGAATGCCTGGAAGTTATAAAGGGAAAGACTATCGATTCAGGACATCTAGAATTACATGTTATTCATGTGCATCATTCCACATATCTAAGACTGAGCTGGACCCAGCAGTATACTTGGGGTCAGTACTAGAATGGAAAGGGAGTACAAGCAACTTCATAACCGACAAATTAGGCTACATATCATGAACTTTGCCATGAAATGGGTGGAGGAAACAAACATGTGGATACCTAACAAAGCCAAAGACCAAAGAAGGCAATCTTTATGAATACATGTCAGTGGACGACAGAAAAGTAGCGAGTCTTCACATACAAAAATAAAGGGAGAAATGGACGCCCACTTCTACTGAAGGGTGAGAGTCATGATGTCCTCCTATCCAAGAGAAGTCAGAGCCTGTTTGGTTCTTTAGCCATCTCCTAAAATTCCTGTTATGTCGAATATTTGGACACATGTATGGAGTATTAAATATAGACTAATTACGAAACTAATTGCACAACTTGCGACTAATTTGCGAGACGAATCTTTTAAGCCTAATTAGTCTATGATTTGACAACGTGGTGCTACAGTAAACATGTGCTAATGATAGATTAATTAGGCTTAAAAAATCGTCTCGGAAATTAGCATTCATCTATGTAATTAGTTTTGTAATTAATCTATATTTAATGCTCTTATTAGTATCTAAACATTTGATGTGACATGAATTTTAGGAGTGACTTAAGAACCAAACACCCCCTTAATCGCAACCATAAAGTCTACTTCGGCCACCAATTTTACAAGGCAAAAGACAAAAGTTGTGACAGAATTTTTTTTGAGAAGTAACTATCTATGAGTAACTGCTCAAAAGTAATAATGAGAGGCAAATTTACCAAGTCGACCATGATACACATCGTCCCAATATAACCCACCTAGGGTTGTCTCCAACAGGAGATCTATAAGGAGATTCAAACTTAAAATGGGTCTTCAATACAATACCTATAGCCTCCAACAGAGTACCTATATAGAAGAACCATTTTAGGTGTCAAGAGAGGTATAACCCAAATCTGAGTATCCTCTCTCCTGTAGACCCATTTGCAGAAAGGGTTCTTTTTGGATTTTGTTGTTGGAAAAGACTAAAAATGGATATTGAACCCTTTAACTGTAGCGTTACCCAAACATGAAATGGGTCTTGTGTTTTGGGTATCGATAGTCTAAGCGTGAAATTTGTGAACTGTTTCTGCATTTCTGGAAGAGCCAACACAATCATGAAGAGGAGGCGACTAGTCAGAAGCAGATTGTCACACACGTTTAGTGGATTGCTCAGGGACTTGCACGCAAAGAAATGAGTGAAGTACAAAGATTGCTTCCCCATTCAAAGCACTGATGCAACTAAAATGGCAAGAGAGGTACATAGGTACAGACGCTTGAAGCATTTATTCTTTCGTTATTACATCTGAAAATGGAGGAAACATGTAGGCCTACTATAAGCCCCCGACAAAAACATGGGTAGTTGCTTTGACCTACATAGGAGAAAAAAAAGGGTAATATCCCAGCTCCTAGACAGCACCTCTTGCACACCTTGCTGGCAGAGAAATAAAACTGCAACAGACTACAAAAAGAGAGATGGATAGACAACCCTGAATCCCCAAATCAAGGAGGTTGATTTCCGACAACTCTGGCGACGGGATTCCTCGACTAGAGAGACAGATAAATTTTGAGGTGGCTGCCTTCACCGCAACAGGAATTGGAAAAGAATCATGCTCAGATCCAAAGGTGGGGGGCGGGGGAGCGGCTTTCCCAGGCATCACAGGCGGCTAGTACGTATCGGCAGTCCGGAACTGTTTCGCCCAAAAAAGGTTGGGCAAGGCAAGAGGGTAAGAGCTAATCGACAGAGCAAAATATGAATATTCATGCGGCATATACCCACTCGTTCATCGAGCATACACCGGCATATCGCCTTGTTAGACCTCAGCCGGTGTTCTTGACTCCCTGCGAGGTTACAATCACGAACGTGAAAGCGAGCAAACACAGAAACTCAATGTAATCACTTGGACATAGAGTTTTGGTGCTGCGAACAACTGAGCAACGTTTTCTATTTTTCTTCTTCACCTTTATTCTGTGAATACAATGCAAGAAGTTCCCGGGTGGACAGCCGCACACCGCGCTCGAACGCGTCCATCCCCACGTCCACGATGTGGTGCCCAAACCGGTCTCTCCAGGGTCGTGCTGAGCTATTCTCGGCATGCCCTTCCTAAGCGCACGGCAACCACAGACCGGTGCTCGTGCGCATGCAAACTGAAACTGAAAACATGCAAAGCTAACTGAACTATGCGCGAGGATTACTAACAAATCTCCTCCTAAGCCTTGCGCACAGTCTGTACATCAATGACGCCGATCCTGGAATGCAGTCCACAGAACTGATCCCACCCCAAGGCCTTCGTCAGAATGTCTGCAAGTTCATTAGCCGTCCTGACAGACTCAAGCTTCACCCTGTTCTCTTCAACACACTCCCGTATGTAGTCGTATCTGACATCGATATGCTTACTACGGTCATGGAAAACTGGGTTCTTACTCAGCTGAAGTGCAGATTCGCTATCAATCTTCAATGTGATGGCCCTGGTCTGCTCTCCTCTGAGTTCAGCAAGGAGCCGGGCTAACCAAACACCCTGGCAAGCAGCAGTAGCAGCAGCTATGTACTCTGCCTCACAGGACGACAATGCCACTACCTTCTGCTTTTGTAACTGCCAAGTGATGATGCTGGGACCGAGGAAGAAGAGAACGCCAGTGGTGCTTTTCCTTGTATCAATGTCACCGGCTAAGTCA